GAACATAATGGAGTAAGTTTTGTGACATTTTGATTGACTTTGTCTTCAGAATATAATGGAGTTAGTTTTGTGACATTTTGATTGACTTTATCTTCAGAACATAATGGAGTAAGTTTTGAGACATTTTGATTGACTTTGTCTTCAAAACATAATGGAGTTAGTTTTGTGACATTTTGATTGACTTTGTCTTCAGAACATAATGGAGTTAGTTTTGTGACATTTTCATTGATTTTGTCTTCAGAACATAATGGAGTTAGTTTTGTGACATTTTCATTGACTTTGTCTTCAGAACATAATGGAGTTAGTTTTGTGACATTTTGATTTACTAGTCAGAACATAATGGAGTTAGTTTTGTGACATTTTGATTTACTTTGTCTTCAGAACATAATGGAGTTAGTTTTGTGACATTTTGATTGACTTTATCTTCAGAACATAATGGGAGTTAGTTTTGTGACATTTTGATTGACTTTGTCTCCAGAACATAATGGAGTTAGTTTTGTGACATTTTGATTTACAAGTCAGAACATAATGGAGTTAGTTTTGTGACATTTTGATTTACTTTGTCTTCAGAACATAATGGAGTTAGTTTTGTGACATTTTGATTGACTTTATCTTCAGAACATAATGGGAGTTAGTTTTGTGACATTTTGATTGACTTTGTCATCAGAACATAATGGAGTTAGTTTTGTGACATTTTGATGGACTTTGTCTTCAGAATATAATGGAGTTAATTTTGTGACATTTTGATTGACTTTGTCATCAGAACATAATGGAGTAAGTTTTGTGACATTTTGATTGACTTTGTCTTCAGAATATAATGGAGTTAGTTTTGTGACATTTTGATTGACTTTCTTCAGAACATAATGGAGTTAGTTTTGAGACATTTTGATTGACTTTGTCTTCAGATCATAATGGAGTTAGTTTTGAGACATTTTGATTGACTTTATCTTCAGAACATAATGGGAGTGAGTTTTGTGACATTTTGATTGACTTTGTCATCAGAACATAATGGAGTTAGTTTTGTGACATTTTGATTGACTTTGTCTTCAGAATATAATGGAGTTAATTTTGTGACATTTTGATTGACTTTGTCATCAGAACATAATGGAGTTAGTTTTGTGACATTTTGATTGACTTTCTTCAGAACATAATGGAGTAAGTTTTGAGACATTTTGATTGACTTTGTCTTCAGATCATAATGGAGTTAGTTTTGAGACATTTTGATTGACTTTGTCTTCAGAACATAATGGAGTTAGTTTTGTGACATTTTGATTGACTTTGTCTTCAGAATATAATGGAGTTAGTTTTGCGACATTTTGATTGACTTTATCTTCAGAACATAATGGAGTAAGTTTTGAGACATTTTGATTGACTTTGTCTTCAGAACATAATGGAGTTAGTTTTGTGACATTTTGATTTACTAGTCAGAATATAATGGAGTTAGTTTTGAGACATTTTGATTGACTTTGTCTTCAGAACATAATGGAGTTAGTTTTGTGACATTTTGATTTACTTTATCTTCAGAATATAATGGAGTTAGTTTTGTGACATTTTGATTTACTAGTCAGAACATAATGGAGTTAGTTTTGTGACATTTTGATTTACTAGTCAGAAAATAATGAAGTTAGTTTTGTGACATTTTGATTTACTTTGTCTTCAGAACATAATGGAGTTAGTTTTGTGACATTTTGATTGACTTTATCTTCAGAACATAATGGAGTAAGTTTTGTGACATTTTGATTGACTTTGTCTTCAGAATATAATGGAGTTAGTTTTGTGACATTTTGATTGACTTTATCTTCAGAACATAATGGAGTAAGTTTTGTGACATTTTGATTGACTTTGTCTTCAGAATATAATGGAGTTAGTTTTGTGACATTTTGATTTACTAGTCAGAATATAATGGAGTTAGTTTTGAGACATTTTGATTGACTTTGTCTTCAGAACATAATGGAGTTAGTTTTGAGACATTTTGATTGACTTTATCTTCAGAACATAATGGGAGTTAGTTTTGTGACATTTTGATTGACTTTGTCATCAGAACATAATGGAGTTAGTTTTGTGACATTTTGATTGACTTTGTCCTAGAATATAATGGAGTTAATTTTGTGACATTTTGATTGACTTTGTCATCAGAACATAATGGAGTTAGTTTTGTGACATTTTGATTGACTTTCTTCAGAACATAATGGAGTAAGTTTTGAGACATTTTGATTGACTTTGTCTTCAGAACATAATGGAGTTAGTTTTGAGACATTTTGATTGACTTTGTCTTCAGAACATAATGGAGTTAGTTTTGTGACATTTTGATTGACTTTGTCTTCAGAATATAATGGAGTAAGTTTTGTGACATTTTGATTGACTTTGTCTTCAAAACATAATGGAGTTAGTTTTGTGACATTTTGATTGACTTTGTCTTCAGAACATAATGGAGTTAGTTTTGAGACATTTTGATTTACTTTGTCTTCAGAACAGAATGGAATAAGTTTTGAGACATTTTGATTGACTTTGTCTTCAGAACATAATGGAGTAAGTTTTGAGACATTTTGATTTACTTTGTCTTCAGAACAGAATGGAATAAGTTTTGAGACATTTTGATTGACTTTGTCTTCAGAACATAATGGAGTTAGTTTTGTGACATTTTGATTGACTTTATCTTCAGAACATAATGGAGTAAGTTTTGTGACATTTTGATTTACTTTATTTACACTACAGCTAAGGATAAATTAGACAGGGAAAGCTGTAATCAAGAAAATTAGTTAGATTAAATCCAAGTTTTTTTTTTAGGCTGAACAAGTTTGATGTGACTTTATTCTTCAGGTTAATCTATTATTATTGTCTATTAGCATTATCGTGCTTTTCAAATTTTAAGCAGATAGGATTAAACAATTTACAACGAAAATATAACATGTGTTAAACAGTTTTTCCTTGCAACTGATTCATTTGAATATAATTTTTATTTCAGGAAATCAGTATTAGTCATGATTTTACCTTTTAATTTTTAAAAGGATTGACAATTTGCAATGCAAATAACAAATAACTAACTGACAATGACATAACAAAAAATACTAATGACAAAAAAGACAAACAGTCTACAAACAAAGCATAGAAAATATCTAAAGACTGAGTGACACGAACCCTACCAACATCAGGGGGTGGTCTCATGTGCTTCTGTAGGGTAAGCAGATCCTGTTCCACATATGACACCTGTCTTGTTGCTGCTCATGTAATTACACATTCTGTGATATGTCTTGAATCTGAAGGATGATCTCCCTCTTTCCAGCTACACTAAGGGGGAGATTCTGCATGACCACCTTTTTACATTCAAAATTTTGTATTAGGATACATAGTATTATAATACTTTAAGCATTGAAGTTATGTTCAGGTCATATATTTCTATTGCTTTAAATGCAAATACAGGAATACTTTCAAAAATTATTTCCCAAGACTCCAAAATATGTCATGACCTTAATGCAAGTTAATAGACACCTTATGTTTGCAGCCAAATAAGTAGACAAGTCCCACTGATGGGATTGTTAAATGTGGTTTAATTTAAACAATGATCAATACAGCTGAATATAATTCCCTTAGGTGTATGGTTTTTTTTTTCATTGCAGTCTGTTAAATTGGAGTATGTCTGATAATATCTTTTCTCTTTCAAGAAATTTCCTTGTAGTTTCCTACAAACTAATGGAAATCATTTCATCACAAAATAAATGGATAATGTGTATTAACCAAGATATTTCTATGTCAGTTGAGTTTTGAAACAGTTGTCTAAATGGAAAAACAATGATTGAACATCGAGTGCTATAGTTTCCTGTGTGTCTGTATATAGAATTACTGACTTAATGTTTTGTCTTATTTGATTTGTCGCTTTTGATGTGGAAATAGTTTTTGTTTCAACTTGGACAAATGTCATTGAACTTTGTTTACTTTTAATTTTATTTTAAATAAAAAGTTATATTTCAGTAGATGAAGGTTAGAAATAATCTATATTTTGTATGTAGACATCTTGAGATGTTAAGTTTTTAACTTACTTTTATCAGCTGTGTCCATGGCCTTATTTTCATGGTTCATTGATTTGTTTAGATCAATGTTCACATTTTGTAATTTCTCCTATTTACTCTGTAGATGCTTGATTCTTGGTTCCACATGATTTAACTTCACTTAAATGTTCACAGTTGACTATTGAACAAATTTTCAAGGTGATAGTGATAATACTAAAGAATATAGGATCTTGAGCTCTAATGAAGTAATCATGTGCAAGTAATGAATGATGATAAGTTTTAGTTATATGACAGACTATGAGGAATGATGATAAGTTTTAGTTATATGACAGACTATGAGGACAATTAAGACAATAGGTACATAAATGGGCAATCTCACAGATTTTTATGAAATTTTGCAAGCAATAAGAGCATATGAATATTGCAAAAATATAAAAGTAACTTTTATACTTTTGGATATATAGCAAAATGAAAATTCTGTAGAAAGAAGTTCAAATGTATAGTATGCACGTAAATAACGAAAAACATATTGTGAAATTCGACTTTAAATTACCTTTTCTCAAAAACTTGTCCTACAAATTTTCTTTCAAATTGATATGTTATTGCCACTAAATTTCTTCTATTGATATGAAAGTTATAGGGAGTCACCGAATTCCTAATGCTGTATAAATCATTCAAGTGTCTCTGTAATATCTAAAAACATTAAAAAATAAGATTTCAAGCCACGACGTCATGATTGTGTTTGCCCTTTCGGCACATTTTCCATGTTGTACAGAAGATTCAACTTTTCATACTCAAAAAACAAATTCAGTGACCCTCTATTAATTTTGTATCAGTAAATGGAAATTTCAGCAACAATAACATATCATTTTTAAAGAAAATTCGTAGAACTGGATTTTGAGAAATGTTTATTTGAAGTCAAAATTGATGAACTTTTTTTTACAATATTTACTTGTATTCTATACATTTGTACTACTTTTTTCTGTATTTTAGTTATATGACAGACTATGAGGAGATAACTCTGGATGACAGCGATGAAGAACCAGATCCTGATGGATATGAAGTAATAGAACTACCTGATGAACAAGACATTAATGGCACAAAGCTCTGTCAATGTAACTGTCATAAAAACACACTTGACCAAAACTATTTGAAGAGAAATAGACATTGTTATTCTTGTTGTTTAAAGGTAAGGTGAACATCATGTAATATCAAACTATCAGTGTCTGTATAACCTTACAATTGTACCAAAGATTAACATCATGTAATATCAAACTATCAGTGTCTCTATAACCTTACAACTGTACCAAAGATTTACATCATGTAATATCAAACTATCAGTGTCTCTATTACCTTACAATTGTACCAAAGATTAACGTCATGTAATATCAAACTATCAGTGTCTCTATAACCTTACAATTGTACCAAAGATTAATGTTATGTAATATCAAACTATCAGTGTCTCTATAACCTTACAATTGTACCAAAGATTAACATCATGTAATATCAAACTATCAATGTCTCTATAACCTTACAATTGTACCAAAGATTAACGTCATGTAATATCAAACTATCAGTGTCTCTATAACCTTACAATTGTACCAAAGATTAACATCATGTAATATCAAACTATCAGTGTCTCTATAACCTTACAATTGTACCAAAGATTAACATCAAGTAATATCAAACTATCAGTGTCTCTATAACCTTACAATTGTACCAAAGATTAACATCATGTAATATCAAACTATCAGTGTCTGTATAACCTTACAATTGTACCAAAGATTAACATCAAGTAATATCAAACTATCAGTGACTCTATAACCTTACAATTGTACCAAAGATTAACGTCAAGTAATATCAAACTATCAGTGTCTCTATAACCTTACAATTGTACCAAAGATTAACGTCAAGTAATATCAAACTATCAGTGTCTCTATTACCTTACAATTGTACCAAAGATTAACGTCATGTAATATCAAACTATCAGTGTCTCTATTACCTTACAATTGTACCAAAGATTAACGTCATGTAATATCAAACTATCAGTGTCTCTATTACCTTACAATTGTACCAAAGATTAACGTTATGTAATATCAAACTATCAGTGTCTCTATTACCTTACAATTGTACCAAAGATTAACGTCATGTAATATCAAACTATTAGTGTCTGTATAACCTTACAATTGTACCAAAGATAAACATCATGTAATATCAAACTATCAGTGTCTCTATAACCTTACAATTGTACCAAAGATTAACATCATGTAATATCAAACTATCAGTGTCTGTATAACCTTACAATTGTACCAAAGATTAACATCATGTAATATCAAACTATCAGTGTCTGTATAACCTTACAATCGTACCAAAGATTAACATCAAGTAATATCAAACTATCAGTGTCTCTATAACCTTACAATCGTACCAAAGATTAACATCATGTAATATCAAACTATCAGTGTCTCTATAACCTTACAATTGTACCAAAGATTAACATCAAGTAATATCAAACTATCAGTGTCTCTATAACCTTACAATTGTACCAAAGATTAACATCATGTAATATCAAACTATCAGTGTCTCTATAACCTTACAATTGTACCAAAGATTAACACTAATTGAAAATTTACAAATAAGCATTCTTTTCATGACATCACAAACAGCATTAGTTATGATTTTTCACAGAATTTCATGAAATCAGATGAAGATGAATTAGTTTTAAGGACCAAAAAATATAGGTCATGAGTCAACAAAAAAGATCTTTTAAAGTCATATGAAACGAGTTTCTTGTAGTTATCATGTTATCGAAATTATTGAACCAATGCATGCATATTTACTCAACTATGTCCTGTATGCATGTTTTTATACGACTGCAAAAATTTTGCGGTCGCATATTGGTATGACTTTGGCGTCGTCGTCGTCGTTGTCCGAAGACTCATTAGTTTTCGCACTATAACTTTAGTTCAAGTGAAAGGATCTCTATGAAATTTTACCATAAGGTTCAATACCATAAAAGAAAGGTTGGGATTGATTTTGGGGGTTATGATACCAACAGTTAAGGAATTAGGGGCCAAAAATAAGCATTTTTGTAACTTCCAGACAATAACTTGTGTGTAAGTGTATGGATCTCTCTGACAGCGTACCACAAGGTTCCATATCACAAAGGGAAGGCTGGAATTGATTTTGGGGGTAATTGCCTCAAAATTTTAGGAATTAGGGGCCAAAAAAGGGGCAAAGAACAAGCATTTTTCTAGTTTCATGACAATAACTTGTGTGTAAGTGTTTGGATATTTCTGAAATTGTACTACAAGGTTCCATATCACAAAGGGAAAGCTGGAATTGAGTTTGGGGGTAATTGCCCGAAACGTTTAGGAATTGGGGGCCAAAAATAAGCATTTTTCTAGTTTCCAGACAATAACTTGTGTTCAAGTGTATGGATCTCTCTGAAATTGTACTGCAAGGTACCATACCACAAAGGGAAGGCTGGGATTGATGATGGGGGTAATTGCCTAAATATTTTAGGGATTAGGGGCCAAAAAGGGGCAAAAAACAAGCATTTTTCTAGTTTCAGGACAATAACTTGTGTGTAAGTGTATGGATCTTTCTGAAATTGTACTACAAGGTTCCATATCATAAAGGGAAAGCTGGGTTTGAGTTTGGGGGTAATTGCCCTAAACGTTTAGGAATTTGGGGCCAAAAAGGGGCCAAAAAACACATTTTTCTAGTTTCCAGACAATAACTTGTGTTCAAGTGTATGGATCTCTCTGAAATTGTACCACAAGGTTCCATATCACAAAGGGAAGGCTGGAATTGATTTTGGGGGTAATTGCCTCAAAATTTTAGGAATTAGGGGCCAAAAAAGGGGCAAAGAACAAGCATTTTTCTAGTTTCATGACAATAACTTGTGTGTAAGTGTTTGGATATTTCTGAAATTGTACTACAAGGTTCCATATCACAAAGGGAAAGCTGGAATTGAGTTTGGGGGTAATTGCCCGAAACGTTTAGGAATTGGGGGCCAAAAATAAGCATTTTTCTAGTTTCCAGACAATAACTTGTGTTCAAGTGTATGGATCTCTCTGAAATTGTACTGCAAGGTACCATACCACAAAGGGAAGGCTGGGATTGATGATGGGGGTAATTGCCTAAATATTTTAGGGATTAGGGGCCAAAAAGGGGCAAAAAACAAGCATTTTTCTAGTTTCAGGACAATAACTTGTGTGTAAGTGTATGGATCTTTCTGAAATTGTACTACAAGGTTCCATATCATAAAGGGAAAGCTGGGTTTGAGTTTGGGGGTAATTGCCCTAAACGTTTAGGAATTTGGGGCCAAAAAGGGGCCAAAAAACACATTTTTCTAGTTTCCAGACAATAACTTGTGTTCAAGTGTATGGATCTCTCTGAAATTGTACTGCAAGGTACCATACCACAAAGGGAAGGCTGCGATTGAGTTTGGGGGTGATGAATCATAAGGGGGTTCAAAAAATTTGGGGGGGGGGGGGGGTTTCCTTTTTTATCTTTTTTTCCTTTTTTTTTTCTTTTAAAATTTTCCAATTTAAGTTGGTTATTTCTGATTTATATTTAAAAGCAAATAATAATGATATGGTAGGAGATACACACCAAACAGGATGTGTAAATTATTATATAATAAGTATTGTGCAATAGCAAGAAATTTTCAATTGCACAGTATTGCACAATAGCAAGAAATCTTCAATTGCACAGTATTGCGCAATAGCAAGAAATCTTCAATTGCACAGTATTGCGCAATAGCAAGAAATAACCAATAGTTTTCAAGTTGGTCTACATTAAGGTCCAAAGGGTCCAAAATTAAACTAAGTTTGATTTTAACAAAAATTGAATTCTTAGGGTTCTTTGATATGCTGAATCTAAACATGTATTTAGATTTTTGATTATGGACCCAGTTTTCAAGTTGGTCCAAATCGGGGTCCAAAATTAAACTTTGTTTGATTTCAACAAAAATTGAATATATGGGGTTCTTTGATATGCTGAATCTAACCATGTATTTATATTTCGGATATTGGACTATAATAGGTGTGTGTCCAATTTAAAATTTTTAAGTTCTTAGACCACATTCATTCTGTGTCAGAAACCTATGCTGTGTCAAATATTTAATTACAATCCAAATTCAGAGCTGTATCAAGCTTGAATGTTGTGTCCATACTTGCCCCAACTGTTCAGGGTTCTACCTCTGCGGTCGTATCAAGCTGCGTCCTGCGGAGCATTTTATTTACATTTATTACCAATCTTTAACATATTATCCACAAATATTATTCCATTCCCTCATGTTACTTGACATTGATAAACAATCAACACAGAACACATGGAGCATGTGACAAAAAAATAAGTGAATTGATAGAGCCATGATATTGTCCATTAGTTATCATTTGTAAATTAAACTTTTCCTGAACAGTTGTTTAATGATTTGGTGTATTTAATTTGTTCTTTAAGAATCAGTTATTACTATTTACCTTCCAGTGCCATTTGTTTACTGTCTTTCATTACAGTTTTCTCCCTTGCACTTTGGTGTACGGTGGCTGAAGTTCTAACAAGAGGTTTCGTAGTTTAAGGGTCACTGCATACATGAAAATATCAACTAATTAGAGTACAGCAAGACAATAATTCAATAGCAGTACATTTATGATGATGATGATGATGATGATGATGATGATGATGGATGGCTGCATAACATCCAGCGGCAAATAAATATGCATATTCAGGACGAGAACATGTTAATGTAATATGAATATTAACCCTGCTTTGTACTTTACCGACAAGCTGAGCCGGATTTTTAACGTGCTAGTTCACAAGGTAACAGTCCACAGGAAGACATGTCACCCTACTCGGACACATTATTCTGACTCCGAGCCAACCAATCTTATCTACCTCCTTAATGCTATGTGCTTAGCAGAGAAGCAGCAAATACCAATTTTAAATTCTTTGGCTTGACCTAGCCAGGATTTGAACCCACAACCTCGGGCACTTGAAAAAACACGCTACAACGAGACCACCGAGGCAGTAGTACATTTATGAAGATTTTGATAATATAAAGGATTTTCTTTTACAAGAAAGTTCACGTACACTTGTTATATAGTAAAACTTAGCCATTCATTAGTATATAAAATATATTTAACTTTTTTTTTAAATTTGAAGTTTCATGTGACTTTAACTTTAATACGTGATATAACATTATTTATCAGACTTTAATATTTAGTTTGTTGAACCCTGCACACTATGTTTCCTATGCCTAAATGTGGAGGACATTCAAACGATTTGTCAACTTTCACAAATACCTATTTTTGGCCTATTTATGAAGTAAATGTCAACGCTATATCAAAAAAGCTCAACAATAACGGTTCTTTTTCACTTTTTTACATGTCTATATCTCATCTTTTAAACCCTTTTTATCATGATACAATGAACTTAAAATTTGAAGCCAAATAGGGCCCTTATCAAATTTACTCCTTTTAACATTTGCAATATACTATCAAAATTGTAATAAAAGCCAAAATTAGCACCATGCAAAAAATATCTGACAAAGTACACTTTTAAGAAGACACTACAGGTAAATGAAGGAATATTTTATCGATATTGGGAAATCTAATGCTTGAGAAAGATATTGTATATTTTAGGTAATAGATGGGGAGCTCTACTTTAGAGTTAGCAATAAAGTATTAAAGAAAGTTAATGTGATATATCATAAACCCATAAAAGCTCGATCTAGAGAAGTCCAGCGACAAGAGCCACCTGAAACACTACCGTGGGTAGATCCTGAGCTAGCTGAACCTACCACCCTAGCCTGGGTTGATGATGATCCTATTGCAGAGAAGGAAAATGTAGATATTTCATTATTACCAAAGGTACATGTCAAGTTTTATAATAGATAGCTTTAGTAGTTTCTTTTGTAAATAACAGTAGTTATAAGCAAAGTATTTGTTAGAAAAAAATATCTATGTCTGTTACCATATACAGCGCATAATACACGTCCACTCCAAAGAAAGGGGCATCACTTTGTCTAGTTAAGTCTCCCAAACGAAGTTTGGGAAGACTTATTGTTTTTGCTCAGTTATTATTATTATTATTCTTCTTCTTCTTCTTCTTCTTCTTCTTCTTCCTCCTCTTCCGCCCCTTTTAAATTTGAACTTGTCCGCACCCGTTCTCCAAGACCGCTTGTCAGATTAACTTAGGGTTTCACAATATGTTAGACTAACATGTCTAGTGGTGCAATCAGGGTTTTGTTTGTGCAATTGGGTTTATAAAGGGGTACTTTGAGGGGCAAAAAGAAAAGAGGGTTTTACTATAGAACCCTATGGGATTTTATTTTTTTAAATTTTCAAATGATTATAAATTGAAAACCGTTTGTGATAGACACAGTCTTTTTAATTGAAAATGTTCTAAATGATAAAGCCCATTAAATGAAATACAGGGTTAGTCCCCAGGGGTCACCCCCACCCCCTGCCATTTAAGAAAGTTCTAATATCTTGTAAATGGTCGAGATCCCCACCCCTAAACCATATATATTTTGGTTTGTTGTGCTAAGATGGTTTGAATGATATACAGGGTTAGTCCCCAGGGGTCATCCCGACCCCCTGCCATTTGAGAAAGTTCTAATATCTTGTAAATGGTCGAGATCCCCACCCCTAAACCATATATATTCTGGTTTGTCATGATAAAGCACATCAAATGTAATACAGGGTTAGTCCCCAGGGGTCACCCCAACCCCCTGCCAATTAAGAAAGTTCTAATATCTTGTAAGTGGTCAAGATCCCCACCCCTAAACCATATATATTCTGGTTTGTCATGCTAAGATGGTTTGAATGATATACAGGGTTAGTCCCCAGGGGTCATCCCGACCCCCTGCCATTTGAGAAAGTTCAAATATCTTGTAAATGGTCAAGATCCCCACCCCTAAACCATATATATTCTGGTTTGTCATGATAAAGCACATCAAATGAAATACAGGGTTAGTCCCCAGGGGTCACCCCCACCCCCTGCCATTTAAGAAAGTTCGAATATCTTCTAAGTGGTCAAGATCCCCACCCCTAAACCATATATATTCTGGTTTGTCATGCGAAGATGGTTTGAATGATATACAGGGTTAGTCCCCAGGGGTCATCCCAACCCCCTGCCATTTGAGAAAGTTCTAATATCTTGTAAATGGTTGAGATCCCCACCCCTAAACCATATATATTCCTATTTGTCATGTTTCGAACATTTGAATGATGTATACGGTCAGTCCCCAGGGGTTCCCCCCACCCCAAATGTTCTAATATCTTGTAAATGGTTGAGATCCCCACCCCTAAACCATATATATTCCTGTTCGTCATGTAACGAACATTTGAATGATGTATAGGGCCAGTCCCCAGGGGTTCCTCCCCACCCCCAATGTTCTAGTATCTTGTAAATGGTCGAGATCCCCACCCCTAAACCATATATATTCTGGTTTGTCATGCCAAGATGATTTGAATGATATACAAGGTTAGTCCCCAGGCATCAGTAATGCATATAACTTTACTGGACCAAACCAATTTTCACTGGATATTGCCCAATGTCAGGCGACCCTGGGAATTATGAATTATGGGAGCTTCGTTTGGGAGACTTCGTAACAGCATCCTGTTACAATCATTTCTTGTTAATACATGTTATGAGCATAAACACATGAAAACAGAAGAAAATTTTATCAAACAATATAAAATATGTGCATGAATCAAATTGTTTGCATAATATTCAGATAACAGTTTAATAGTATATAATTTGAATAACTATAAAAGATATTTTAAAAAAAGTAAAAGTAGAGGCATTTAGAGATATATATGTCATATGTTTCTCAGTTCTGCTGATTAAAATGTATAAAAAAAAGATTTTTTGTAATTATTTGTAATATTATATAATTTCTTTAAACTTGGCCAAGTCTAAATAGAATGAACATTGCTACCAGTAGCATATCATGTCAAAGATTATTTAAAAAATAACATGAAAGCCTCTTAAAAAAAAAATATTCTGTGTATTTTTTCAGATAAATGGTTCCAAGAAGAAAAAAGACAGAAGCAGGTACATTTCTGGTAGTGATTCTCAGCCTGATCCTGTTGTTTATAATACCTGTGATCAGTCAGAAACATATGTCAACCAAATACCAAGCACTACACCACCTGTTCATGGAACTAGTACTGTACAAAGTGCTTCTCAGACTGTCAATCAATCTTGTACTTCACAAACTGTTCATCAATATCTGACTTCTCAAAAGGAGGATGAACTAAGTACTTCACAAACTGTAACTGAGCCTTTAGAAACTGATATTGAATCTAGTGTCGTACGGGAGATAGAATCATCCGAACATTCACAGGATATAGAATTGGAACAAAGTGAGAATTCTCCTGGTCAAACTGTTATTCAAAGCGGTCACTTTGTTGTTTTGAATGAAGAGGCCAATATCTCGCCAAGAAAATGTGAACCTACTTTGGAAATCACTTCCAGTTCTAGTAGTACTCTTCCCTATACAAATGGCAGTGAATCTACAACTTGCCCTGACATTCTAGCCAAAGCATTAAAGGTGGCCATGATAGGCCAAGGAGATGTGTCCATGGACATTCCTCATGACAGTTCACTTGGATTTCCTGGTGTCAAAATAATACCTAGTCAGACTTCTGTTACAAATGTAATCGCAAAATCTTTCACGGATGTGACCCCTATGTTATCATCTTGTCGGTCAGAAAAACACTTTGTGAAGGAATTGTTTGCTTCTTCTTCTGATAGTTCTGATAGTAACACTATAAAGCCTATTATCACTGTGTCTGATGAAATGTCCAATATTGGAGTTATCAAAAGTTTAGATCCCTCAGAAAATCCATCTAATATTATATGTACTATAGCTAGAGAAGAAGATTCTACTTTGTCCCAGTTTGATTCCATTAAGACGGGTTTTGTAGGTAGTTCTGATCATGCCAAAGAACAACTTCCTACTGTACCAGAGGAAGATAGTACTGAAAAGATGGAGAGTTGTCAAATCTCAAATATCACTTTCAAAACATTTGGAAAAGATGTGAAAAATGTTCAAAGAGAAATGAGTACTTTCACTCATAATGAAACAAAAATAGATTCAGATAAATCAGTGACTTCTGTGAGATCTACGAATATTTCTCACCCAGAGCAGGATTTAAGTAGGTCTAATAGTCGACTATCAGAAGCAAAGAGTATTGAAAGCCCTAAATCTGCAATAAATATAGTACATCCTGAGATAGAGTCCAGTGTAATAGGATTTAATACCGACTCAAATGGCTCAGGTTCATCTTTACATCAGAGTACAGAGATCAACAGATTGACACCTAGGCGAGCATCAGTAAAAAAACAAGTGTCATCTGCTAAAAAAGTAGAACAGGAAGACAACTCCTCCCCAACAGCAGATAGCCAATCAGAATCAGCCAGTGAACTGTCAGATAGTGGAAGTAATAGTGTTGATACTGTGTCTAACTGGAACAAGTAAGTTCATTAGGTCATGCAGGAACATATATATTGACGGGACTTGATACTACCTAATTATAACCGATTTTATTGTCGGGTCATAGTTATAAAATGACACGAAACGGACTTGTGTAAAATACTTACTCGCTATTATCTTAATAATTTCTGATAATATCAATAAAATGTCATTGAAACTAAGTAATAAGTGATGCCAGTGTATCGAACTTGTAATCTGTCACTTCAAATTTATCATAGTCGCATTCATTTCATCACAGAAGTGTACAGAATGCAAACAGGGTAATAAAAAAAATGGCGCTGATGGCATTCCCAGTAACCACTTTAATTACCCTTATATTTGTCATTTTATATGACAAAATATATCTACTTTACGATAAAACTTATCAATATATTGTATCTGTTGAACGTTTGGAATTATGTGGGTAATTTATTGATCAGTTCAATCAGACGCTTCCAAAATCCATAAATCTCGCAAAGTCTTGTAAAGTTCGAGATTTTATCAATTTTATACTGAAAAGCCTATCAAATTCATTTCCAGTTAGTTTACTGTTCCCAGGGTCACGTAGTGTTTTATTTTTAAGATTTAATGCATTTAGTGTCTTGCCTTACTGCATTGTACTGTTTAACACTAAATCAAATTAGAGATGATCATGATAAAGTTTTGTCACTTTGGTTATATTGACCTTCCAAGGCCAGGTGCTGCAAGATCCCAGATTTAAAGGATTGACATTTCAAAAATAAAAATGAAATGCTGAACTAATTTTAACTATCAGAATATATAGCATGGACTTTCTTTCTTTGTTGTTTCTTTGATTTTTATACGACCGCAAAAAATTTTGCGGTCGTATATTGGTATCACGTTGTCGTCGTCGTCGTCCGAAGACATTTGGTTTCCAGACAATAACTTTTAGTAAATGTGAATAGAAATCTATGAAATTTAAACACAAGGTTTATAACCACAAAAGGAAGGTTGGGATTGATTTTAGGGGTTATAGTCCTAACAGTTTAGGAATTAAGGGCCAAAAAGGGGCCCAAATAAGCATTTTTCTAGTTTCCAAACAATAACTTGTGGAACGGTGTATTGATCTCTCTGAAATTATACAACAAGTTTCCATACCACAAAGGGATGGTTAGGATTGGCTTTGGGGGGTTATGGCTAAAACCATTTAGGAATTAGGGGCAAAAAGGGGGAAAAACAAGGGTTTCCTGGTTAATGGACAATTTAAAAGCAGTGTAAGGGAGGTAATCCAAACACATTTAAAGTACTATGTTGTTTATGTTTGGATTTACTTCCCTTACACTTCTTTTAAATTATGTATAAAGAAATGTTGTATTGTCTTGTGGTGATTAGCTGTCAATTTATTTTCAGAAGTTATTATTAAAGGAATATTAATTTTAGCTATGATTATGTATGTCATTTTTTCTATTTTAAGACTTTTATGATGTATATAAATTGGTAATTATGGTTGCAAACTCCATTGAAAATTTGAATTGAGATTATGACCATATCTTGAGGGAAAGAATTTTTTTTTTGGAAAAATGGGGGGTGGGTATAAAAGAAATTGTAGGGGGGGGGATCTTTTCTCATTTCAGATTTCAGAAATTAAAAAGAAAATTTCTTCAAATACTTTTTTTTTTTTTGCAAAAAAAAGGGGGGGGGGGTCAATATGCAACAGCATAGTGTATTGCACAAAAGCAAAAAAAAAGGGGGAGTACATTTTTTTTTTTGGGGGGGGGGGTCAATTCGCAACAGCATAGTGTATTGCACAAAAGCAAAAAATTGAATATAAATTCAAATCATACAACCAATTCTAAGTTCTTTGACTACAGTTATTCTGTGTCAGAAACCTATTATGTGTCAAATATTGAATTAAAATCCAAATTCAGACCTGTATCGAGCGCGAATATTGTGTCCTTTTTTGCCCCAACTGTTCAGGGTTGGACCTCTGCGGTCGTATCCAGCTGCGCTTAGCGAAGCATTTTATTACCTTTCAAACAAGAACTGATGGGATCCACTCATTAACAGTATTGAAAATATTTTTGTTAATAACTATTTGACTGTTTGTTTAGAAATATCCATCAGTAATTTTAAATTGGGTGAAAATATGCTGCCTATCTTAAAATGCCTAGAATAGTGATGTCAGGGGAAATCAGATATAGATAAATACTGCATTTATATAAGGGACTTAAATATTGCTCTTTTCTTTTAATCAACAAACAGGTATGATAGTAAAATATTAGGTTTATGCAGTTTCTTCTAACATTGCCGAACATGCCAAAGTACAAATGTAATTAACCTAAAATGTGTTGGACTGACTAAAAATTAAATAAAAAACCGATTTTAGGGGATGAGGACTTTGACAAATATCACATCAAAACTTGATATCTAAGAAGAACATATCTTGAATTAATACCTTGTGTCAAAATTCATACCCATGAACATACATTTCATTATTTTGTGTCAATATTGATTTTTATGCTGCCGCATAGGAGGGGGCAGTAAGTGTTACCCTTCTCCCTCTGTACGTCTGTCTGTATGTCCAGAAATTGGTTTCCTTTCTCTAACTTTAGTTTGCCTCAACCAAATGTTATGAAACTTATACACAATGCTTATTACCACAAAACACAGATCAAGTTTAAACTTGGGTGGCATCACTTTTACCATTCTACAGTTGTGCCCTTTTACAAATGAAAAATTGTTGAATTTTTCGTTTCCGTTCTCTAAAGTTTGCCTCAACCAAATGTTATGAAACTTATACACATGCTTATTACCACAAAATTCAGATCAAGTTTGAATTTCGGTGGCATCACTTTTACCCTTCTTGAGTTATGTCCCTTTATAACATTATGTGCAAGCAGGGGCATCATATGTGTCCCATGGACACATTCTGCATGTATTTGTTTCTTTGCCTCACACAAAAATGTGCAAACTGGGACCTTGCAAGATTTCTGAATTGTTTTTATTTTACACAAGGAAAACTTAAGTTTTGCTGATAAATAATGAACTTTCTATGTTTGTTTTCAGAGATGCTGATCGTATTATATTAGAAGTTGTGAAAGCTAATGGACCAGGATCAGAGACATTTAGTACCATATCCAAACAGTTACGAGGGAAAACACCTCAACAGGTCAGTGGGCCTTTGATTTGTTTTACACATTCTTAAAAAAAAACAATTTTATAGAATTGTAATGTTGCTTTATGAATGTTGTTAGACATGGAATAACCATGCATACATTGTAATTGGAATATAAATAAAAATGATTGCGTAGAAACAGGTAGAAATGTAAGGCTTGCCAAGCACAGAAATGTAGTTGTATTAAAAAATGTTTTAGGATTTTGAGTGTTGTTTACATATATCTTGGAATGAGTGAAAATGACCTGGAAAATATGTGGCTTTTTACAGGTTAGAATTTTTACAGCATTCATAGAAACTAAGAAATAACAGCGTATCTACAGATAAATCATAACATGCTGTTGCTTTTATAGGGATTCAAATAACACAACAAGCTTGAAATAAAAAGATAAGATTTTATTATAAGCTTATACATTTTATCTGATATTGACTATTACCTTTAATGACCTGTGAATCATCTTTTAGTGTACAATATCAAAAAAATTTGTAAGGGTTCCGCGGAACCCAGTGTCTCGCCTACTTTTGCTGTTAGTCGCAGGCTCAACAAAAATGGGAAAAAATTATTAAATATTTTCCTTTAGATACTATCTTTTGATTGTAAGAAGTTCTGTTCAAGTTTGGTAAAAATCCAAGAAGGTTTATGAATCTAATAAATGTTTTAAAAACTTTAACTGTAGACTGTACTTAATGTTAACTGGAATAAAACTAAGTCCATTTATAAGTAATATACGGAAAAACAGGAAATAAATTTTTACAAAATTTACTTTTGAATACTATCTTTTGAGCATAAACAAGCCTCTGTCCAAGTTTGGTACAAATCCAGGATAGTTTAAGAAAGTTATTAAAATTTGAAAAACTTTAACCACAGAGTGAATGTTATGTTAACTGGCAGGAAAACTAACTCCATATATGAATAAAATACGGATAAACAGGATTTTTTTTTTTTTACAAAATTTTCTTCTGGATACTATCTTATGGTTATAAACAAGCTTCTGTCCAAGTTCGGTACAAATCTAGGATAGTTTAAGAAAGTTATTAAAATTTGAAAAACTTTAACCACAGAGTAAATGTAATGTTAACTGGCAGAAAAACTAAGTCCATTTATGAGTAAAATACGGATAAACAGGATTTTTTTTATTACAAAATTTAGTTCTGGATACTATCTTATGATTATAAAAAAGCTTCTGTCCAAGTTTGGTTGAAATGCAGAATAGTTTAAGAAAGTTATTAAAATTTGAAAAACTTTAACCACAGACTGAATATTTGTTGACGCCGACAGAATGTAGGATTGCTATGTCTCGCTTTTGCGACAAAAGTCGCAGGCTCGACAATGATGAAAGCTTGACAAATGTACAAACAGACGGAAACAATACCACTGTACTTGAACTTTGTTTAGAATTACTCCTTTTGCATAAAGTGCTTAACAGACTTATAGTATGGTGATGTTGGGTGGGGAATAAGGGTACCTATTGTGTGTAATTAACTCCCACAATTTAAAACAAAGCCAAAGATCCTTGAAACTTCACAGAAAGATTGCACATATAGTGAATGTATGCTCTTTATAGTATGGAATAATTTGAGGAAATGTTCTCATTTTTCCAGATTTTAGATCTTGGTCATTTTTAGAAAAAAAAATTAAACAAAATGTTACCTGTAGTCGTTTTAAGATTTATTACCCATTTTTACATTTAATATTTCCATATATTTCAATGTTCAATATTAACCATTCACCCTTGTTTATGAAACTTCTGTGCAACCCAGGTATTTGAGTCTTTGATCCTTTTTTGTCAAATAGTCTTTTGTTTTAAGAATTAAATAAGTTTATAGTTTATTAACAAAAATCTAAAAAAGTACTTAAGTTCTAAATAATTGCTCTCCTTTCAATTAAAAGCTCCATTTACTGACATGATGTGAATTACTGTAAAGTTCAACTCTATTAAAGTAATTCACCTCCCTTTACATTTATTACATTTATCAGTAAACCAGAAATTGAAATTTAAAAGGATACATTAATTAAGGTTATATTATTATTATTAACAACATGGCAAACAGTAAATAAATGGGATAATCCATGATGAAAAAAAGTATAACAAAAATAAAGAACTCCATGGTAAATTCAAAAAGGGAAAGTCCTTAAAAAACTAACAAAATAAAATGTTATGAACCAACAGAAAGATTGTAAAACCACTGTCATATTCATGACAAAAGAGCTTATAAGTATATCTAGGGTTATAAAGTTTGATACAATACCATCTTTCAAATGTTTATGTTCTAGTATTTTGTTATAAAAGAAACATCTGTAACCAGATAAGATGATGGAACTTAATTGTGTGTTATTAATGATTTGTATGTTATACTACTGTTCTGTATGATGACATCCTGGAGAGGTATTGTGGCTCATTAATTTGCTTAAATTGTAGGTTTCACAGAGGTTTCATCAGCTGTTAGAGATATTAGCTTGTGAAGAAACACCAAGTGAAGAGGACAGCTAACTGAAGATTATTAACTGTTATATCAAACCACAATTCTCCCAGAAAATAATTGTTGTGAAGTAAATGGTAATAAGAGAAGCAGTAAAACAACTAAATGTCACCATTAAGGCTTATTTCCTGTTTATCTATTTTCAGGAATGTCTTATAAATGAATCACTATTTCAGCTTCAGTAATAATTAACAATAACCATGGATTTTTGTTGAATGTAAGGTTACTTCTGTGTTGCCACTTGTAATATTACATTGATTAACACTGAGATTAATTTTTTATTTTTCTGACTTGAAAAAATGAATTTGAAGCAGTTTTTTCATGACATAGTGATATCCATGGGGATTTTAAACAACACATTGTTCGCCACATGTGTTATTTTAACATGATAAATAAGTTGTTCTCCATCTGAACAATAATGTTGGTTACATTGATTAGTTAAATCTGTGATATTTATTAGTTCTTTGAGAGAAGTGTCAATTATTTTGAAAAGGCACTACAAGTAAAGGTATAAGGATTTCATCAATTGAGGGAATATTTATCCCAATATTTACTAAGTTTTATAAAGTAATCTTTAAAAAATAACATCAACCCTTTTGTCAGGGTCAAACATGACCATTCTTCTGACAGACTGCATATAGGACTAACTAATGTAATTAATACATAAAAAAACTATATATTGAACAAGTTGATTTCTAGATGTGTTTTTCTTTTCTGTCATTCTGTTACCACCTCCTTGACTAATATTCCACATCTCCATTAATTGAAATTGCATGTAATTTATCATGTTAATTTTATGGTTTTTATTTTTATGCCCCCGCCGGAGCGGAGGGGGCATTAAGTTTTATCCTTGTCCATCTGTACGTCCGTACGTCCCAAAGTTGGTTTCCGTTCTCTAACTTTAGTTGGCCTCAACCAAATGTTATGAAACTTATACACAATGCTTATTACTACAAAATACAGATCAAGTTCGAAATTGGGTTGCGTCACTCTTACAATTCTTGAGTTATACCCCTTGATAAACATAAAAACTGCTGAATTTTTCGTTTCCGTTCTCTAACTTTAGTTTGCCTCAACCAAATGTTATGAAACTTACACACAATGCTACTTACCACAAAATGCAGATCAAGTTTGAATTTTGGTGGTGTCACTTTTACCATGCTAGAGTTATGCCTGTTTACAAATGGAAAAATTGCTTAAATTTTTTGTTTCTGTTCTCTAACTTAAGTTAGCCTCAACCAAATGTTATGAGACTTATACACAATACTTATTATCACAAAACTCAGATCAAGTACAAATTTGGGTATCGTCACTTTTACTGTTCTTCAGTTATGTCCCTTTATAACTTTATATGATATGCAAGCGGGGGCATCATCTGTGTCCAATGGACACATTCCCCATTTATTATTTTTATTTTTATTTCAAGTCAGTATTCAAAAAATATTTTGGAAATTTTAAAATCTTGAACTTCTTTTCTTCTTGGTTCAAATTTGAAAGTCATATGCTCGTATACAATGTTATAAAATATATTTTTATGATGCATTATGAATAACTTTCTTTTTATGTCTAAATTTACACTGTTTGGTAATGTGGAAGAGTTGTTAAATATAATGAGTTTATTTACAATAAAAGAAGATGTTGGGGATATGTCAATAAGACAGCACTTGTAATTTAAAACTTTTGCCATTCAATAAGAACACAAATATTTGTCGATATTGTCCCTATTAAAATCAATTACAGAAACAAGCTTTTCTTCATTGAATATCCTTGGCAGTACTTTACACAACACAATACTATTAAAGATAAATAAGTATAATATTCTACTCAGGACAATATTCACTGGTATTGGTTCAATAACCCTGTAATATAACAATGCAGTAAATGTTTTCATTTCTAGCATTTCTAGGTTATTGTATAAAGTAGGTCTCTACTCCTTTTATAGTCACATGTTCTTGTCCTGAATATGGCTGAACAATTGACCCCTGGACACTTGTCCTGAATATGGCTGAACAATTGACCCCTGGACACTTGTCCTGAATATGGCTGAACAATTGACCCCTGGACACTTGTCCTGAATATGGCTGAACAATTGACCCCTGGACACTTGTCCTGAATATGGCTGAACAATTGACCCCTGGACATAAGATATTCATTAATAGACATAAAAGTGCACAGGCAGATCAAATTTTATACATAGTATAGTCTAAAAAGTGGAACAATTATTTTATTTTATTGTCGAGCCTTCGACTTTTGTCGAAAAAGCGAGACATAGCGATCCTACATTCCGTCGGCGGCAGCATCCACAAATATTCACTCTGTGGTTAAAGTTTTTGAAATTTTAATAACTTTCTTAAACTATCCTGGATTTGTACCAAACTTAAACAGAAGCTTGTTTATGGTCATAAGATAATATTCAAAAGTAAATTTTGTAAAAAAAAAATTCCACTTTTTCCGTATTTTACTTATAAATGGACTTAGTTTTTCTGCTAGTTAACATTACATTCACTCTGTGGTTAAAGTTTTTGAAATTTTAATAACTTTCTTAAACTATCCTGGATTTCTACCAAACTTGGAAAGAAACTTAATTATGATCATAAGATAGTATCCAGAAGTAAATTTTGTAAAAAAAAAATTCCATTTTTCCGTATTTTACTTATAAATGGACTTAGTTTTTCTGCCAGTTAACATTAAATTCACTCTGTGGTTAAAGTTTTTGTCGAGCCTGCGACTTTTGTCGCAGAAAGCTCGACATAGGGATAGCGATCCGGCGGCGGCTACGGCGGCGGCGGCGGCGTTAGCTAACTTCTTAAAAGCTTTATATTTTAGAAGGTGGAAGACCTGGATGCTTCATACTTTGTATATGGATGCCTCATGTTACGAAGTTTCCGTCAGTCACATGTCCAATTTCCTTGACCTCATTTTCATGGTTCAGTGACTACTTGAAAAAAAAGTTCAGATTATTTGTAATGTTAAATTCTCTCTTATTATAAGTAATAGGATAACTATATTTAGTATGTGCGTACCTTGCAAGGTCCTCATGCCTGTCAGACAGTTTTCATTTGACCTCGACCTCATTTCATGGATCAGTGAACAAGGTTAAGTTTTGGTGGTCAAGTCCATATCTCAGATACTATAAGCAATAGGTCTAGTATATTTGGTGTATGGAAGGACTGTAAGGTGTACATGTCCAACTGGCAGGTGTCATCTGACCTTGACCTCATTTTCATGGTTCAGTGGTTATAGTTAAGTTTTTGTGTTTTGGTCTGTTTTTCTTATACTGTATGCAATAGGTCTATTATATTTGGTGTATGGAATGATTGTAAGGTGTACATGTCCAACTGGCAGGTGTCATCTGACCTTGACCTCATTTTCATGGTTCAGTGGTTATAGTTAAGTTTTTGTGTTTTGGTCCGTTTTTCTTATACTTTATCCAATAGGTCTACTATATTTGGTGTATGGAATGATTGTAAGGTGTACATGTCCAACTGGCAGGTGTCATCTGACCTTGACCTCATTTTCATGGTTCAGTGGTTATAGTTAAGTTTTTGTGTTTTGGTCCGTTTTTCTTATACTTTATCCAATAGGTCTACTATACTTGGTGTATGGAATGATTGTAAGGTGTACATGTCCAACTGGCAGGTGTCATCTGACTTTGACCTCATTTTCATGGTTCAGTGGTTATAGTTAAGTTTTTGAGTTTTGGTCTTTTTTCTTATACTATTATGCAATAAGTCAACTATATTTGGTGTATGGAAATATTCTATGATGTACATGTCAGTCTCGCAGGTTTTATTTGACCTTGACCTCATTTTCACAGTTCATTGCTCAGTGTTAAGTTTATGTGTTTCAGTCTGTTTTTCTTAAACTATAAGCAATAGGTCAGCTATATTTGTTGTATGGAAGGATTGTAAGCTGTTCATGTCTGCCTGGCATGGTTCATCTGACTTTGACCTCATTTTCACGATTCATTGGTCAATGTTTAGTTTTCTTGGTTAAGTCTGTTTCTTAGAAACTATAAGCAATAGGTCAACTATATTTAGTGTATTGAATGATTGTAAGGTGTACATGTATTTCTTGTTTGGTTTATATGACCTTGACTACATTTTCTTGGATCATGTTAAGTTTATGTAATAGTTGTAGTAAAGCTTTCATTTAGGACTATCAACATAATATCAATGGTTAGTAAAGAAGGCGAGACATTTCAGCGTGTCCACTCTTGTTAAAATTTTAACAACTTTCTTAAACTATCCTGGATTTCTACCAAACTTGGAAAGAAGCTTGTTTATGATCATAAGATAGTATCCAGAAGTAAATTTTGTAAAAAAAAATTCCATTTTTTCTGTATTTTACTTATAAATGGACTTAGTTTTTCTGCCAGTTAACATTACATTCACTCTGTGGTTAAAGTTTTTAAAATTTTAACAACTTTCTTAAACTATCCTGGATTTGTACCAAACTTGGACAGAAGCTTGTTTATGATTAAAAGCTAGTATCTAGAAGGAAATTTTGTTAAAATTTTGTTCCATTTTTTCCGTATTTTACTTATAAATGGACTTAGTTTTTCATCCAGTTAACATTACATACAGTCTGCAGTTTAAGTTTTGAAAACATTTATTTGATTCATAAACTATCCTGGATTTTTACCAAACTTGGACAGAAGCTACTTACAATCAAAAGATAGTATAGAGAGGAATATTTTTATTAATTTTTTTCCTCTTTTTTGTTGAGCCTGCCATAACAGCAAAAGTAGGCGAGACATTGGGTTCCGTGGAACCCTTACGAATTTTTTTATATTTATTTAATGTGAATATTGGTTTCCTGTTTCATTTGTATTGAATTGAATCTATGATGTTAGCTGTAATGGGATTTGAACAGCCATCAATTAAAATATGGGATAACTTTGAATTAAAAATTTAAGATGTCATGGTATAAATTTATTATTATAATTTAACCTTATCAATTTAATTTGCATTCATTTAAAAGAAATATGTGCTATTCAAATTTGAAAATAAGCTAAAGTTACAAACTAAAATATGATTTAAAGAAATGTATATCTAACATGAATCTAATTATGTATTTAGAAATGTATGAACATTATTTTATTAGATTTAATTTAGCTTATCATTAAATTTTGCTACTTAAAAGAACTGGAGTGTTTTGTCAGTTAATGAAACTTCAGAAAAATTTTAACTTTTATTAAGTAAATTGTTCAAAAAAGAAGTGCAAATCTAGATAAACATTTGTCACTCATGCAATACAGTTTTTAGCTTACCTGACCTAAAAGGTCCTGCGAGCTTCTGTCATCACTTGTCTGTCTGTCTCTCTTCATAAACTTTTAAAAAATCTTCTCCTTAGGAAATCTTGCGGGGCTTTATTCCTTCAACAAACTGGATGGTGTTGCTAATGATAAACATGCAATTTTTGGCTTATATCTCAAAAAGTAAAGCATTATGAGGAAAACTTACCTGAGGCTTAATTGACCAGCATGTCAAGGTCTTTCTCCTACTTTATATCAGAAATATCAGACAATTCATTTTGGAATTATTGATCCTGAAATGTAAGTTTTTAACAATTTTCTGAGTTTTTCGCTATTATCTTGAGACTTTAGTAGATAGTGGACAAAGTTAGACCATAACAATTGCCAGAACAATTAGAAAAGTCAACATGGACAAAATTGTCAATTGAACCCTTAAAGGAGTGATTGCTCTTGAAATATGATATTTACCCATTTTATGCATTTTTTGCAGAAACTATAATAGATAGAGAGATATTGTTAATATCAAAGATGTTAAGCAAAAAAGATCTACATTGTTGACCTTTGATTGACCCATAATAGGAGTCTTTACCTTTGAAAGATGATTTTTGCCCATATTTGCAGAAACCATAATCAATACTAACTGTGATTAGCAAAAATGTTTAGCAAATAAGTTCTACAACTGAATCAACATGGTCCAGATCATGAACTGACACCTTGTAGGAGTCGTTGCCCTTTAAAGATGGTTTTTGTTGAGCCTGCGACTTTTGTCGCAGAAAGCTCGATATTGGGATAGTGATCCAAGGCGGTGGCGTTAGCTTACTTCTTAAAAGCTTAAAATTTCAGAAGGTAGAATACCTGGATCCTTCATACTTTGTATATAGATGCCTTATGTTATAAAGTTTCCGTCTGTCATATATCCATCAACCTTGACCTCATTTTCATGGTTCACTGACTACTTGAAAAAAAAGTTAAGATTTTTAGTATTCTTAATTTCTCTCTTATTATGAGTAATAGGATAACTATATTTGGTATGTGCGTACCTTGCAAGGTCCTCATGCCGGTCAGACAGTTTTCACTTGACCTCCACCTCATTTCATGGATCAGTGAACAAGGTTAAGTTTTGGTGGTCAAGTCCATATCTCAGATACTATAAACAATAGGTCTACTATACTTGGTGTATGGAATGATTGTAAGGTGTACATGTCCAACTGGCAGGTGGGGGCTTCGGTGGCCGAGTGGTTTAAGTAGTTACTACTGTAATCACTAGCCAGTCAACACTGAGGTTGTGAGTTCCAACCCCGCTCGTGCGTGTGCACTCGACTCCAATCTTGATTGACTAGGATTGTCAGTTTTCCTATCGAAGGTCAGCGGTTTTCTTCGGCCACTCCGGTTTTCTCCACCAATAAAAACTGGCCGCCACGAAAAAGCCCAAAATCGGTGCTTAAAAGTGGCATTAAACACCAAAAATCAAAATCAAATCCAACTGGCAGGTGTCATCTGACCTTGACCTCATTTTCATGGTTCAGTGGTTATAGTTAAGTTTTTGTGTTTTGGTCTGTTTTTCTTGTACTGTATGCAATAGGTCTACTATGTTTGGTGTATGGAATGAGTGTAAGGTGTACATGTCCAACTGGCAGGTGTCATCTGAACTTGATCTCATTTTCAAGGTTCATTGGTTAAAGTTAAGTTTTTGTGTTTTGGTCTGTTTTTTTTTATACTGTATAAAATAAATCAACTATATTTGGTGTATGAAAATATTTTACGTTGTACATGTCAGTCTGGCATGTTTTATTTGACCTTGACCTTATTTTTACGGTTCAATGCTCAATGTTAAGTTTTTGTTTTTGGTCTATTTTTCTAATACCCTCAGCAATAGGTCAACTATATTTGGATTATGGAATGATTGTAAGGTGTACATGTCCAACTGGCAGATGTCATCTGACCTCGACCTCATTTTCATGGTTCAGTGGTCAAAGTTAAGTTTTTTTTAGTTTTGGTCCTTTTTTCTTATACTATATGCAATAGGTGAACTATATTTGGTGTATGGAAATATTTTAGGATGTACATGTCTGTCTCACAGGTTTTATCTGACCTTGACCTGATTTTCACAGTTCATTGCTCAGTGTTAAAATTTGGTGTTTTGGTCTATTTTTGTTCAACTATAAGCAGGGTTCATATGACCTTGACCTGAATTTCATGGTTAGTAGGTCAATGTTAGTTTTTTTCATTCTTCATTGCCATCTTTAATCACAATAATCAATATCAGTGGTATATCACTAAGTTATTTCACTCTTAACCACAGTTATCCAGCATATCTTCATATAGCGGATAATAACCTATTAGTAACAATTAGTAGTATGAAGACACTATGATAGTTGTCTTCAGCAGGCCTGGCAGCAGCTTTAGTGTTCATACAGGCATCAGCAGCAGCGACATTATCTCATTATTTACAGCTTAAAATTTATAATGTATGTCTGATAGCATTTACTTTCAACATAACTTTAATTAAAAATACACGACAGGCGAGTATTTCTGTGTGTCCACTCTTGTTATCAACTTTATGAATTTTTTTTCAGAAACCATAAAGATTGAGAGAAATTATAAATTACAAAGAAGTGAAGCCAATTTTTTACATTTTTTGGTTAAAAAAAAACAAAACTATAGTATCTTAAAAACTTGAATAGATAAGTATAAACTATAAACAGTAAAAAAGATTTTCAATACAAGATCTACAAACATATCTCTAAATAAGATTTACAAATATGCAAATGTAACTGATTGCATTAGAGGTAAAAATAATTATCAAAATGGCATATACCAGGTGAGTGATTCAGGCTCTTAGGAGCCTCTTCATCTTGTTTATTTTTCAAAAAGAAATCAATGTTTAATTAATATCCTGTGAAGAAGATTTGAAGTTGAAATTACAAATGTTGATATTTTACTATGTAAGATTTATGTTTAAACTGCTTTTGCTTTTTGACTGTACATATGTTATTATATTTAATTCAGTGACTGTACATATGAAAGCATATTTAATTTAGATGTTGTTTGTTGATCATAAAGAATGGCATTACTGCATTATTTGTTATTAATTTTATTTTCCTGTTTTATGCCTAGTGACTTTACCATTGCAATGACGGTACATATGTTAGCATATTTAATTCACTGGCTGTACATATGTCAGCATATTTAAATCATTGACTGTACATATGTTAGCATAAATAATTCATTGGCTTTACATATGTTAACATATTTAAATCAGTGTCACTACATATGTTAGTATATTTAATTTATTGGCTGTACATATGTTAACATATTTAACTCAGTGCTTGAACATATGTTAGCATAATTAATTCAGTAGCTGTGATTTAGAGATAAAAAGAAAATTTCCAGGAAACTGGCAAATGGGAAGAGTCTGTATCAAATCTGCAATAATTTTTATTTGGCTGTTGTTTTTTTCTCAAATTTTGAATGCGTTATTTCTAGCATGGTGGGTCTGATTTGCCATGTAGTAGAAGAAGATGAAAATGTCAATTTCCATAGGGTACATATTTTCTTAGGAAAATGCATGTACCAAGTCAGTAATATGACAGTTGTTTTTCATTCGTTCCTTTGGTTGATATAGTCTAACATTTGATTTGTCAGTTTTTATGGTCTTTCCCCCTTTTTGAATTGACCTTGCAGGTCCGTATTTTTGTGAATACTTTTTTTTGGGGAACTTATGTGACACAATTTCAACTACTTATGCCATCCAAGCAGCATAAAACGTTGAACCCCTTAAAGGATATCTCACAATCATCATCATCATCATCCTTACAAGGTTTGAAAAAGATTAGGTATCTAAAATAACCTCTGTTGCTGGTTTGCCATCTTGGTTTATTTGTTATGAAATTTGGTAATCATCCCAAAGGAAATCCATACAATTTTAACAAAGGTTAGATCAGATAAGGGTCCACCTAGTTTCTTTTTAGAATGTATGCAGCTAGATCAGTGTTATCTTTGGTTTCTTTATACACGGTCTCAATATCACCATTCTTAAAAGATAAGAAAATATTTTGCTGAGGATGAGATGGAGGCATTGTAAGTTCTGTATTTGGCCTAATATGTTTAGATTAATTGAGCAATGGAATGTTACTCCCTTGAGAAAAATAAAGTAAAAACTCATCCCTTCTATAATTGATTTTTCAGAATCAAGAATTGCCTCGGGCATCCATGTTTTTTTCCCTGTCCTATCGAAAAAATATAGGGGATTTTACAAACGATCCTCAACACTTTCTATAAAAGTTTTCTTCAGTCTGTCTTTTTAAGTTTTAGAAAGGGAAGACGAATATATCAATTGCCAAAAGGTCATTTGGAACTCTTTGTGGCTTCATTACCTATATCATATGCTTCAGGAACAGTATGAGTAAGAGGCTTCGGTAGCCTACCAGTGTTCTTATTGTAAATCAATTTGGAATATAGCAACTAAGAGAAAAATCAGAGGGAATTGCATGATCTTCAAACGAAGGGTGACAAAGGCTTCAAAATCAGGTTTGATTCAAAATGTTGCCTGATAATCTTTCCTTTAAAGTTTAAGAAATGTTTTTGGAAGTTTCAGGGGAGAAATGGAAAATATCAAATCAGAACAATGACAGAACAATTCCCAGGTTTCATCCAAGTCTACCCATTTTACTATTGGATTAATATGCATGATTTATTTGCAACTGGACATTAAGCATACAATTACCAATCGGCTTAGAACCAAGAATTATTGCGTTTTGCAGTGATTTTGTTGCTCAAAACTGGGAGTAAGTATAATAGTCCCAGCTCAAAACAAATACATAATTATTAAAAAGATCTTTCCGTTCATCATTAATGCTGGTAAAAAGGATATCGTTAAGATATGTGATTTTTTTATTGACAACTTATTTGTTGCGTTTGGAGATGTGTTTTCAACAGACAATAGGCATTCCTATGGGGGCTAACTGTACTCCTCTTCTTGTTGACTTGTTCCTTTACTCAAATGAGTAGGACTTCATAAAAGAGTTTCCCAGGAAGTATGAAAAAAGTAAAATCACAAAAATATTAAACTCCGAGGAAAATTCAAAAAGGAAAGTCCCTAATCAAGAAAGAGTTATCCTTTAATTTCAGGTTCAGCTATATAGAGAATGACCTTTCACTAAATAAATAATGTTTGGTGCCTTTTATCGTATGTATCCCATCGACCCAGATACATGTCTTTACTTACATCTGAAAATTGACAATGAGAGTTGGTTGTGAACTAAATTTTACGACACAAGAGATGAAGTCAGCTTTCCAAATGTGAATTTTCCATTTTTGTGTAGCAACTTTCTTCAGTGACTCCGTATGAAGTATTTATCTCCCAGTTGATACAATATTCCAGAGATTGTGTTTCCTATGACAATTTTTATACGCCCGTTTACGGGACGTATTATTGTATACCATTGTCCATCCGTCTGTCCGTCCGTCGTCAACATGTGGCACATAAACTCAAAAATGCTTTAACCAATTTGCATAAAACCTTGGTGAATTGTTTATATCTATTGACGTGAGTTCCCTTTTGTTTTTTTATAAATTTTAGATTTTATGTTTCCGAGTTATGGGGTTTTATTCATCAAAAAAAGGGGGATTTTCCAGTTTTCAGACAATAACTCAAGAATGCTTTCACCATCTTGCAAGAAATTGTGGTGAATTGTCTATATCTATTGACATGAGCTCCTTTTCGATTTTTATAAATTTGGGATTTTCCAAGTTACAGGGTTTTATTCATAAAAAAGGGGGATTTTCCAGTTTTCGGACAAAAACTCAAAAATACTTTCAGCAGTTCTTATGAAACTTTGGTGAATTGTTTATATCTAAAATGGAATAACCAAATATCAGACACTTTAAGAATAGAGCAAGGCGTAAGACAAGGTAGGTCTCTTAGTGCAGACTTGTACAAAATCTATATAAATACACTTTTAGACATTTTAACTGATTCAGGATATGGAGGGAAAATTGAATCAATTTCTTGTTGTGCTCCTACTTGCGCAGATGATTTAGCCATGCTTAGTAATTGTCCGTATGAACTGACACAAATTTTAATTAATATGGCCTTTGATTTTAGTAAACGTGAGGCATACTTACTACAACCAGCAAAAAGTTGTGTTATACAGTCTAATTCACTTTACCATGAGAAAGTAACTGCAAATTTTTGGAATTTAGGCAATTCGACTCTTCCAACTTCTAAGAAAGCAACACATATAGGAATTTGTCGTACAGACGATGATTCATGTAAAGCAACAATAGATGAGAATTTAAAGAAAGCAAGAAGGACACTTTATAGTTTAATGGGGGTTTAACTTTATGGAGAAAATGGATTAGATCCACAAACCTCAATGTCAATTATGAATACTTATATAATACCAATAATGTTATATGGATTGGAAATAGTAATTCCAAGAGGAAGATGTTTAGAAACCTTAAATATCCAGTTTAAAAAAATTTTGAAACAATTGTTATCTTTACCAAAAACAGTCGCTGATCCTGCTATATATATAATTTCTAGGATGTTACCTGTAGAAGCTCAAATAGATGTTAAAATTTTAACTTTTAATGGAAATATTACTAGACAAGAGAAAAGTTCAATTGAATGGCAACTAGCGGAAAGGCAATTAAATGTAAAATCTATTAATAGTAATAGTTGGTTTAGTTTACTGCAAAAAATATTTTTGAAATATGAACTCAATGATCCTGTACAATATTTAGTCAATCCAATTTCTAAATACCAATGGAAAAGTGAAATAACTTCCAAAGTTCAAAAATTCTGGACAGAGAAGATACTGAATCAAGCAAAACTTTATACCAGTTTAAAATGTTTATCATTGATATATACACCAGGACGTTGTCATCCTATTGCTAATACAAATTCTATGAATTCAAGGGAAATTATTAGAATTCCTACAAAATTGAAAATAGCTACTGGAAGTTACATTCTACAAGCAGTTAGAGCTAAGTATATAAATAATTCAGATTTGTCTATATGTAAATTGTGTAATGAAACAGAAGAAACTTTACCACATTTTTTATTAACGCGTAAAAGTCTAGAAGATATAAGAAAACCGATTTTGGAAGATTTAATTAATTCCTGTAGTGAAGAGTTGGCTATTTTTAATATGAGAGATGAACACTTTGACATTTTATAACTGATTATAGATCCATTTGCTTACTTGACAATGTTAAGAAATGAAAAAGCTTTTAAAGTGATACAGAAACTTGTAGATCCAAAATGTAGACGATTATGTTACAATCTCCATTGTGAGAGGTATAGACTGTTGCAATTAGATGATATAAAGAAAAAGAAGAAAAAGTAGATAATAACTTTATATAAACACTTAAGTGATTAATGGTTGTCTACTCTTAAACAGTGATATCTTTAGATAGATATTTTAGATTTTAAAGTACTTAAAGTGTTGATGCAGTCTAAAATGACATTAAGCCCAATTTTATCGTCAAGAATGTAAATAATGTACAGTGATATTGGTGGAAGATATTTTTATTCATGTTGATGAATATACAACTCGGAAGAGGTGTGCCTACATTGGCAGAAGCTATATAACAGATACAGATACTTCCGGTCTCATATATAATAGCTTTATTCACACTGATTCCAAAAATATATAGTTTGTATATACTTATGCCTGTAATAAAGGAGATAATATGCTACTTCCGGTTTATAAAATGTCACTTCCGGTCTCAAATGATAGATTTATGTATTCCCATTCACAAAATATATCGTTTTTATGTACTTTTCCCTTAAATTGGTGCAAAAATGATTACTTCCGATTCACTCAAGGTCACTTCCGGTTGGCATTTTTCAAGGTCATATGTCACCTAACATTTTGCAAAAGTTCTTATGGATTTATCATTTACCAATTTGAAGTAATAATCAATTTACCATAAAATAAAACATTCAGGGGCAATAACTTCTATAAGATGTCATTGGATTGTTTCAGACTTTAGGTATCATATCTTCATCACAATAAAGCAAACATTTAGCACTAGTTTTTTCATATATATCTTGAAAAGTGTCAGAGAAAATGCAAAAACAAGC